ACCTGCAGGCACAGAGCCCCATCCTCTGCTTCCTTCCCCGTGTGAACAGGAGCGTGGGAAAGCTGCAGACTGTGTCACAGACCGAGGCTTAGTTCCTCCTGAGTCTACAGGCAAATTCATTCTCTCCTATGGCCTCAGTTTTCTGTGGTATTGCCAAACCTTGATTTTCATTATTATTATCATAGAGACAGGGTCTCCTTACGTTGCCCAGGCTGGTCTCAAACTCCTGGCCTCACGAATTCCTCCTGCCTTGGCTTCCCAAAGTGCTGGGATGACAGGTTGGAGCCACCACACCCGGCCCAAACCATAATTTTGTACTTCTTTACTGATGGATGTTTAGATTGTTCCACTTTTTTTTTTTTTTTTTTTAAAGGAAAGAGTGACTACTTATGGCTGGGCACGGTGGCTCACGCCTGTAATCCCAGCACTCTGGGAGGCTGAGGCAGGTGGATCACCTGAGGTCAGGAGTTCAAGACCAACCTGGCCAACATGGTGAAACACCATCTCTACTCAAAGTACAAAAAATTAGCCAGGCATGGTGGCGCATGCCTGTAATCCCAGTCAGAGTCTTGCTTTGTCACCCAAGCCAGAGTGCAATGGTGCAATCTTGGCTCACTGCAACTTCCACTTCCTGGGTTCAAGCAACTCTCCTGCCTCAGCCTCCCAAGTAGCTGGGATTACAGGCACCCACCACCATGCCAGGCTAATATTTTGTATTGTTAGTAGAGCCAGGATTTCACCCTGTTGGCCAGGCTCGTTTTGAACTCCTGGTGTCAAACAATCCACCCATCTCGGCCTCCCAAAGTGCAGGGATTACAGGCGTGAGCCACCACGCCTGGCCCCAGCCTGTTTTTTTTTTTCTGCCTGCCTCGGCCTCTCAAAGTGCTGGGATGACAGATGTGAGCCACTAGTTCCACTGTGTGTTTGTCTAGTCTCTTCCCCACCAGGTCGCGCAATCACTGTCCTCTTCATTTCCCTGCTATTGAGTCCACAGTGGGAGGTCGGAAGAAACTATTAGAATTACATCACTAAGATCATCTAGTCTTAAATCACCATTACGAGGGTCAGGTGCGGTGGCTCACACCTGTAATCCTAGCACTTTGGGAGGCCGAGGCAGGAGGATCACTTGAGCCCAGGAGTTCCAGACCAGCCTAGGTAACAAAGTGAGACCTTACCTCTACAAAAAATCAAAAAGTTAGCCAGGCGTGGTGGCACATCCCAGTAATCCCAGCTACTTGGGAGGCTGAGGCAGGAGAATCACTTGAACCTGAGATATGGAGGTTGAAGTGAGCCAAGACTGTGCCACTGCACTCTAGCCTGGGCAACA